AGGGGGGGGCCATCCCTAATAAGGTGTATGCTAATTTAAAGTTTATACATTATATTTATAGAAAAAAATTTGACAGTGGAAAGAGATGTTTTCCCTTTTTTTCATAAAAGCCTGGTCAGGGTCGTTTATATATTAGAACAATTAGACACATCGGTGTCTGTTTTCCCCTTTCGTTTAGACATTTGAGGATTGAAGTGCAATCTTAATCTCCCAGGTGTGCATTTAAATTTCCCACATTTATGGTCCAGATAAACTTCAAAGCTTGATACTAGATGTTTCAACATACACGTTGCAGCTATATGTCATTTCTGCCATGTTTCAGAATGGTAGAATAAATTACTTTCTCACAAAATTTGTTAAAACTTATTTCAATGTTTAGCAGAGAAATTGCCTTTAAAATTGCTCTTAGTTGGAATACTATTTAGTTCACATAGTTTAAGTTGAATTAGTAGCTTAGACTGGTAGTAAAGCTATTTCAGAGTATAGTAAACCTTTCTTTTTTCAAACATAAGGGAAAATATAAAACAGTTCATTCTTTTTATAAAAATTTGGGAGAAATGTTCTGAAAAGAAATGCAGCTTAAGGCTTTACATTGAAAATGGAGTTTAATTTTTAAAAACCTGTTTGTTCAATTTCTGGTTTAAAAACACATTTTTTTTATTGGACTTTTTATTACACTTCTACTTTATTTTAAAAACCACATATAAATACATGAGGACGCTGGAAATATCAGAGGATTGATGATCCATGAGATGCCTTTTTTCTTTTAGTTTGAACCTTACATTTAAATCCTTCCTTCTGACGTGTTACTGTTGGGTGAGACTAATACTAAGAATCTGTTCTTCCCCTGTTCCTTTGATGACCAAAGAGGTGAGTGGAGGTCCCATCTGGTTCCAGGAAATAATCCTTAACAAAATCTCTGAACTTCCTTTTTCCTGCCTTGTATCCATTTGTTGTCCATAATTTCCCAAAAAAGGTGTGTATAGGAACACCCGGGAAAATGTGATGGTGAAGTAGTATTTTTTAAAAAGAACACACATCCCAAATGAACTCTGGTCTCCTCTTCAGAATTGGCCGTCTAAAACATCTGTGTGAATTCAAGCTGGAGTGCTTCCCTGCGGTGTGCCATCCTCCCTGTGCAGGGACAAACTGGAAACTGATTCAACCGTCACCTTAGTGGGAAAAGACTTAAAAATGTGAAAATAGATATAAAATGCATTTAAACATATTTAATTTGTTTACAGAAATAAGACTTGCTAAATAAATCTAGAGTAATTTTGAATGGGAGGCTGTTGCTTATATATTGTGTAATAACTAGCTTACCCTGAACAGAGCTTGGTCAAACAATAAACTATATTGTTACTAACTGTTGGTTTCTGTGTAATTTGCAAAAATTTTATTTTTAATTTGGTTCAAAGCTTCAAAGTGTTACTAAGTGGCTTTGTAAAGAGAATGTCCTAACGATGGAGCATTTATTAACCCAAAAGGACCACTGTTTTTGTTGGAGGAAATGAAAGGGAAACACTGATGGTATATTTATGTCCACAAAACTCCTGACTGCCATTAGCGGATCTTCTGCCCTCCCAAGTGCTGGAAAGCCATTAAAGTGGGTGCTCGTGGTCTAATGTCCAACCTGAACTAGTCTCAGTCGCACTGTTCAAAGCGGCAGCATCTCAGTTTCTCCACCCAACCACACCCCTCTTCCCTGTCCAAGCTGAGGCTTCTGCATCTAAATTCTCCAGCCTCTTGCGCTGTTGCTCAGGCTGCTGGCCACTCAAATCAGTGTCAGTGCAGCCATTTCCAAATGTTACTTGGCCCCAGGATTTATTCCCAGAAAGAAACAGGTTGCTGTTGTTTGGAAGCTTTTATTTTTTTCCCTTTTATTTTATTCTTCAAATAAAAGCAATATGCAAAATAGAAAATGCAAGTTTTCATTAAACAAAAGGAAGAACCCTCTTGTTAAACCAGTTTATTATTCTGGGCCAGGTAGTGACAAATACATGCTTTTCTTACAACTAAAGAGATGTTTTGAATGTATGTTTTAATTTAAACTTAGAAATTTTGTTCATAATTACAAACTAGAATATATAATTCTAATTTTCCTATGACTTAAAGAGCACAGTTGGTATTCCAAAGGTGCTGATGCTTGAAAGCTACGATTACTTCTAAATGCACTAAGGTTTTTGAAGCAAATCTACCTTAGACACTTTTTTAGTATTGTATTTTTAAAAAGATTTAGGATTTTACTTAAATCTCTTGTGAGTTCAATGTATCTTCCATTAAATATTGAATATATTTATCCCATTTATTTTTAATCAACTATTTTATAGAGGTGAGTTGTCAGGAAATGTTTAATGTGCACTATTTATAGTACTTTGCTGTAAGAGGCAATGTTCTGAAACTAAATTTATTTTTATTCAGTGAACGTAAGTTTAGATTTTTAAAGTTGGTAGATAATTTATCTCCACTAATATTTTTTTAAGCAACTGTGAAGAAATGAATGGGGAGTGGCTGTTGCAGGTTTTACTAATGTGTGTAGCTACAGCTTCCTACAGTTCTAGTCAAGGCTCGACTTTTATTTGGAACAATTCCTTTGGCCCTTTCCAGTGCTGTTTCACTTTAGAAGTAAGAATTGTTTGACAAAGGGAATATTGCTAAAAAAATGTTAAGAGATAAACCTCATTTTAAATTCTACAAAAATATTTATCAAATGGACGTGTTACTTTTTAAAAATTCCCTGCTAAGGACTTTTTTTGGTTAATTAGTCTTAGAGGGTATATGATTTCTAGAGCTTGTTTTTGTTAATGTGGACTGTGATGTAAAGGACATATTTTGTATGCAAAACATAAAATAAGTATGGCTGCAAAAACTGTATTGTTTAGGGGCCCCAGAAAGAGATTTCATGCAACCATGCCCAGTATGTCGTTCACGCGGTCACAGCTTTGCTTTTGTAATACATGAATAAAAAATAACACTTTCTAATGCTTTCGATTTTTCTTTTTTGAGAATTAGGGTCCAATTAGTTTTGTAGTCATTTTCCAGCATGTAAAATGTTAATCGAAATAAAAAGGGTTTATGGCTACATTAGTTTGACTTTGTAGAGTGCCTAACCCAGGAGTAGATGTCACCTGAGTTAAAAACAAAAACAGCTCCACACAACCACCTGTTGTCTCCGCCGCCCCCCAGCCCCGAGGGTTCTGGCATGTAAATGAAGGCTGCCTCTGAGGCTCAGTTATCCGTGTCACACCTGACAAGCGAATGACTGCAGTAATTCTGTTATGACAAATGGATCTTTCAGAATGACTGATTTTTGTGAAAAATGAGTCTGGCAATTCACATCATTGGCCTAGAAAGCACCCAGTGATACAAAACTGTTGTGATTGGTTTGCAAAATCTTAACCAAAATCAGACATTCGACTGGAAATTCAGAAGCTTTAATCCTGCTTTGAAAAATACTTCTGCACAATGCTGTCTTTTTCGTAATGAAAAAAAGAAGCCACATCTGCTATGTCCGGGGTCTGTTGGAAGCACAGGTATTTTTTGTTTCCTTGTCTTAGGTCTTCCAGAAACTCGGCTTTGAGCTTGTTAAGGTCTCCGGCCAGAAGCTTCAGGTCGTGAGGCGGCAGTTGCTCATCTGCAATCAAGACAGTCTCAGGTTATCTGTCAATTCAATGAAGCTGGGCTGTCTGGTCACATCAGGAAATTAGTTTACTTCAGACAAACCAACAGCTTCTTCTGTAAATAATCACAACTGAGTTGGTATAATATTTGGACAAAAGGCCACACCAATGTGACACAACAATCATTTAAATAAGTCGGTATGAAACTGCCAAGCAAAAAAGACAAGCCTGGGTTTTTTTTGTTGTTTGAGAACTGACTTCACGTATGTCTTGAACTAACAGGTAGACAGACACAAAAGCAGAGCTAGAAAATGACAATCTGGTTTTGAACCTGGTGTTACCACAGCTGTCCTGTAACTTTCTACAGTGACGGAAATGTTCTGTGTCTGCCCCATTCAGCCCAGCGGCCACCAGCCGAATGGGTAGTGTGACTGGAACTGGATTTTTTGTTAGTTTTACTGAGAGAGAATTCACATACCATACAATTTATCCACTTAACTACAGTTCAGTGGTTTTAGTCTTCAGACATGTGCACCCATCACGGTTTTAGACTATTCCATCATCTTCAGCTGTGGCCTTCCTACTCCATCCCCGCCCCCCGCCCCAAGCCCTAGGCAACCACTAATGCAGTGGCTGTCTGTCTAGATTTCCCCATTCTGACATTTCACAGGACTGGACCCATCATATGTGGCCGTTCTGATGGGCTGCTTTGATTTTGCACACTCTTTCAAGGCTCACCATGTTGTAACAGGTACCTGTGCTTTGTTCCTTTCTATGGCTGAATAGTCCATTTTGTGTGTGTGCCACATTTTGTTGCACATTTTGTTGAATCATTGTCAGCTGATGGGCGTCTGGGTTGCTTCCACCTTTTGGCTATTATGAATAATGCTGCTATAAACGTGTACACATTTTTGTATGAACATGTTTCACTTCTCTTGAGCATGTTCCTAGAGGGGCACTGCCGGGTCTCATGGTAATGCTACACCGATGGGCTGTCGGCCGGAGCAGCTGCACCGTCTCCATTCCCAGCAGCAGTGACGGGCTCGGCCTCGCCACATCCTCAGCAGCACTTACACTAGGTGTCCTGATGGGCGGCAGCGGCATCTCGTTGTGGTTCTGACTTGCACTCCCCTGATGACTCATGATACCAAGCGTGTTTTCACAGAATGAAACCACCCAACATACCTTTTGCCTCCTTCATGGTCTGAGAGACGATTCTTCGCAGGGTCTGATCCACCTGATGAAGGATGTTAGTTGAACAAATAATTCTGTCTGTTTCCTAGTAACACAGACAAGGTTATTAGAGCGGTTACGTAGTTAATCAAAGACATGGCTAGAGTGGAGGAGCATTATGCGAAAAGGTTATTAGAACAGTTACACAGTTGTAAACTGGGCTCTATCTGGGTGGTGGGTGCTGGTAAATATCCAGTAAGGGGCTCTCCAAAAAACAAGACCTGTCTGCAGTGTCTGTCAGTCTCTGGTATAAACAGCCCCTTCCCTGCCCTCAGCTACCAGCACACAGGCTCAGCATTTCTGGAAATGTAACAGCTGAGCAGCCAGTGGGCCGCCACCAGGGCACCACTGCATCTGGCGGCCAGAGCCCAGTGCTGGCCTGATGGGCGGCGGTGCCCGAGCATCTTCCACGTGGCGCTCATGCTTTATGCTCAGCTCAAAAAACCTTCCAACAAAAAGTGCTTCCTTCTCACACTGAACCTGAACTGGAGACTTACCTTCTGTTCCACATTGTCCTCAACATATTTCACTGGATTTTCCAGAGCAGTAAGCAATAGATCCGTCAACTCCAGCCTGTGAGAGAAGGTGGGATAAAATTATTAGAGCAAACATCTGTTTTTAAGGAACTTGTGTTGCTGAACACCAAGCTGAATTCTGAAGGAACAGAGGAGCTACAATCCAAACTCCTAAACAAACGGGGAAACGAGAAATGATTTAAAAGCTACCGTCCACTTGAAGAATCCAAATGTAGAAGTTTAAATCATGAGCAAAAAAAAACCCCTCATTTAAAAAAATACTGATTTCTAAAACTTATCAGTAAGCTCTGGAAGGACATTCTCTCTTTTCCCTCACTGACCACCGAGCTTCCGGCCACCAGGACTCAATCTTACCCCTAAGGAAACGCTCAGTCTTCACTTCCTGGCTCCTGCTCACTTGCAGGATGTGGGTCCTCAATGCTCCTCACTTACCCGGGGCCACGGAAGGCTGAGGTATAGTTCATTCATTCAACAAGTATGTACTGAGCACGTTATATGAAGAACACTGTACAACCAAGTGCGTGAAACTGTGCTAAGCTGGGGGTAAAGCAAGATCCCTACCCTCTCCAAGGGGTAATGTAATGGAGAGAGGCAATAAATTAAGCAAAATAATGATTTCAGACAGTGACAAGTGGTGAGGTAAGATACACGCAGCGGTGACAGTGACTGGGTCATCTAACCGACATTCTTCATGGTTGGTTAGGATGGTCAGGGAAGCCAGTTAAGCATAAATATGTGGAAGGGCAGATTGAACAGCAAGTACAAAGGCCCTGAGGCAAGAACAAACTTGTGTTTGTGTAGAAAAGGCTGGTTTGGTTGAAAAGTAGCAAAGGGAGAGGCAGGATACGCGGTTGGGGAGTTCACCAGGGTTAGATTACGTTAAGTTACGGTAAGGAGTTTGGGTTTGACTGGGAGCACAAAGGGTAGCACTGAAAAAATTCAAAGCAGTGAATTCGCTGAGTTAAATCTTAATCTCAAGATGATTTTTCTCATTGAAAAGAACCTAGGCTCTAGAGGGAGTGAGGCACTGGATCCAACCTTGGCTCTGCCACTTACTACATGGTTGCTGGCTTGATCCCCAGTAGGCGGCGTGCAGGAGGCAGCCGACGTTTCTCTCTCTCTACTCCTCTCACATATCAAATATATATATATATATATATATATATGGCCTGTGTGAGGCCCCTGCAAGGATTAACCAAGTGGATACAAGTAAAGCGGTTAGCACAGTGCCCGCCTCCGGGAGACACGGGAACGGAGAGCTTGGGCAGGATACCTGGCCTCAGAGGAGCACGCAGAGCTCTGAATCCTGAGGCTGTTGCGTTCCCACGCATTTTTCTCAGGGTTGGGCTCTTCCATCTTTCTCCCCATCCTGTGGATGGTCTCAGGAGGCAGTGGCCGTGGTCTCTGACTGTTCCTCTGTAAACAGGTCTCGAGAGAACAATCTAAAAAGAGCTGGCAAAAGCCTAATGAATCTGAAAACAATTTGAAACCACACAATTAGTGGTATATTATTTTCCAAAATGTGAAATAAACATATGAGACAAATTATCCCAGCTGCAGCAGGAAAACCGTTTGCAATACTGAGCGTGTAGTTTTGAAAATTAAGTCAATTCACAGAAGCCTCCTAATCAATTAAATTCTCCCCAGAGACAGGGATGATTTTGATATGCAAATAAATGTGTAAGAAAACGTTTTAATTACATTTCCGGGCCAGTTGGTAGACTTCGTATCTCATACTTTGGTAATAAAAGTTGTCATCTAAAATCAAAATCAAAGGTCTGGAAACGGCAGCCCTGGTCAGGAGACAGGGAGCCTGGCCCCCCAGCGCCGCGGCAGACAGCAGGTCCTGACCCCTCAGGCAGGTGACGAAACCGTCCCACAGGGCGGGGGTCCGGCCGGGCGGCGGGGACACCTGACTCCCGCCGGTGACGGCCAGCAGGAAGCACTCCAGGTACTTGAGCAGCTCCTGCCGCAGCGACTTCCACTGCGACGCCTGCAAAACACGAAGAATTGCGATTTCTGTTGGGCGCCGGCGCGGTCACCGTATTTACTGCGCTCTCTGCGCTCGGCACGCGAGCCCCGGCACTGCAGCAGAGGGTC